GTTTGCGAGCCTGTCTGAGAAGATGCTCTTCCCTCCCTTTGTCAGGTGGATCCCATCTCTTCCTTGTAATCCTTCTTCTTGGAACAACAACCCGTGGTCAAAGAAGCCAAATCTCTGCTGGCGACCCATATGCACACCAACACATTGATCTGCAGGATGTGTCCGCTCCTTCCCCAGCCCTTTCCCTTGACTGGAAAGATTGAGAACATCATCTGAGGCCCTGTGCTTTTCACCCTTGCACTGAGAGCACTGTAGTCATTTTTGACCTGCTCGGGGTCACCCCTGGAAATATCTTTGGTACCCACTTGGATAAGCAGCATGGGATAGTAATCAGAGGGCCAAATGAGTCTCAATAATCCCTCTGTGACATCTCAGATCTGGGTTCCAGGCAAGCAGCAGACCTCCTGAAATAATAGGTCAGGCCAGCAGATGGGTGCCTCCATCCCCTGCAGAAGGGAATTTCCCACCACTACCACCTATTGCTTCCTCTTGATGGCAATGGTCTCAATCTTCCCAACCCTGGGGAGACCTGGCCTTGCCTCTTCTGCCAATGAAACATGCTCCTGCTCCTGTGCTGCTAGGATATTATTACCAAGCCCAGAGAACATCCAACACTGTACAGTATCTATTCACAGTAGGCTAACACATGACTCACTTCCTCCAGTCCAAAGTCTGAGAAACACATTATGAACACACTGACTGACATGCCAAGCTCTAAAACTTCCACCCACTCTGTTACTACACTGTACTTCTGAAGCAACTGATCATGAATCACTTAGTTGAAACTCAGTGTTTCAGTGCTGAATGAAATCAGTCCAGTGCTCCATTTTGGAACTGTTGGAGTTTTTTAAATGAGCTGTATTTTATGCAACTCTGCTCTTGCCTCTGTCCTAGGACATGAATACATGATCCAATACTGTGCTGAATTTCCAGCAGGCACAACACAGAAAAGTATAGCTCAAGAGGAAGGAACAGACAGAGGTGATTTCACACCATTTCAATACCCCCTTCAGAAATTTAAAAAACAAACAACAAACTTACTTGGAACAGATTAGTGAGGCACTGCAGAACCTTTTGTGAATGACTTTTTTACAAATTAAAACAGATGCTAGGTTACATAGCACAAATGTAATTAACTAGCAGAAGGGAGGAGAGGATAACTAAGCATAAATATTAACTGACTGCAGGAGAAGTCCCTTGACAATTAATCATGGAGACCTTTTTTTAATGCCCTCAGTGTCTACTTCCTGCTGTTTAGTCAGCAATTCTTCTTACCATTAAACTGATACTCCTATACCAAAGCCCAAGTGTCCATTCCTGTGCCAAAAAATGCAAAACTGAACGTTCATGGAAGAACTACATTCTGGTCACCACTTTAGGCTCCCCGTTGTGATCATTACAAAAAACTTCCTCCCAGAGGACTCAGTATTATGAAAGTAAAAAATTGGCTTAGTAGCTATGAACATAAACCATAAGTAAATGACATCATACTTCATGCCCAAGACTAAGTCAAGAAGGAAAGAAAATAAAACAAGAAGTAAATCTCATTCACCCACAAAGGACACAGTAGCTGAGGAAACGGAACAAGTCAAACAGAGACCAGTCTTTCTTACCTAACCTACCTGTGATGTTTGCTTTTCATTTCAAAATTAACATGGTTTTGTTAGTGTCTTTATACCACATCAATGCTAACACCGATCACTGTTTAAGATAATTACAATCAGCTTTCAACAATGTGCTTAGAATGACTACAGAATGCATAGAACAAACAAGGATCGAAAACTCTTCTGGATGGTATCAGAATAAAGCTGGAAATAAAGATGGTGTTGTAACTTGCAAACTACCCAAAACATTTTAAAGGTATGTAGATACAATAAAGTTCAGTACTATAGAAAAGGCTACATTGATAGATAACTGGAAGATGAATACAAATTGCTTGCAGGCAAATCCCCCAGAATACTATGGCACTTCAGGGAAGAATCCTATAGTCAAGAAATAATACAATACAGTCCTTACACAGATTTCCTGCCTATTTTCTCCTTTAAGACATAAATTGTATTTAATGTCTAATGTCCTGCAATCTGTATCCAGTAAGGACCTACTAAGAAGCATTTGTTCTAATGAAAGCATAGATTCAGACAAGAAATGAAAAAGGGTCATACAATAAGATACAAAACTATATAGCTGTCTTGAGTCCAAGGCCCCCCAGAGCCTAATGGCTCACTGACTAGCAAGGTAAGGCTCATCAGCTTTTGTAGCCAAAAGCACGTAAGGGAGCAATGTAGCTCACATCACATTTAACCCCCAACCCAAGTGACCAAGTACTTATATTCAGCTGGGGACAACCTTTGACATGAGTCCAACACAGGGCTTGTACTCATGCCTCAGGAGTCATAGTAAGACATCTTCACTGTCCTGCCAACACACCCACATGAGTGTTTCATAACTAAAATATTGTTAGGACCTGTATTTCACAGAGGACTTATTTAACTCTTCGATATACACATTATGCTCTACTATACAAAAAAAAAAGCATACAATGTTAGGAGCGATACTGGTGTGTTTATTACTCAGTTCTTTGAAAAATCCATTTTGCTTAGGACTTTTGATTTTTACACTTTTTAGTTTTATCAAGTGTGAAAAAACAGGGCTGTGTTAGATAATCTTTATGGGGTTAGTCATTAAGAACCCTATTCTACAACCCCCAACACACACACACACACACACACACACACACACACACACACACTTAACTCCAAGTGATGCAAGTAATTCTGTTATAGTTACTACTGAAACTGTGTCTCTATTCAAGTAAATATTGCTGTTTTTATTTACAACCTGGGTTACCATCTCACCTACATGGCCCAGTCAAAGACCAGGATTCCACTGCTCCAGTCATAGGCAGATCTAGGATTTTGAAAAGTGGGGTGCATAGGCGCATATAACACAACACATTTTTCTACAGGTAAAAAGAAACTAGAAGCTTTGATAATGTAGTAAGGGCCTAAGGCTATATCACTCAATTTAAGATAGAAGCAAAAACAAAAGTAACTTTATTGGAATTTGCAATAATTTACTATACCATACGTTATGTATTAAAAAACATGACAAACTTGACAAGCTAGGCAAAAATAGTCAAAAGATGTTGTTTCTTTGGTCCTGTAGTCATTAGAATTAAACGTACATCTCTTTCTGATTCATAAAACAAAATCTAGCCTTCTTGAGCATCTTGACAGCACATCCAATGCCTCAAAGAAAGTTATTTCCAAACCTGATTTAATGTTTCCACACCTGAGTTTGTTTCTAACTTCAGTTAAAAACACTGTCTGAAGGGCTGTGAAACAGGAACTACATTACCAGGAGCACCTAACAGATAGCAGAATTGCAGAAGAAAGAATAGCTTGATAAGAGGAATATTAAAACCATTAAAAAAGAAGGGAGGGTCATTAACACTTGTGGATTTAAGAGTTTAGAAAGGATCAAATAGATTATGAGCCATGAAGTCCTTCATGGCTGCCTGAATAGAAATGCTGCTGCCACTCCCAGGGTTTTAAATTTGGGTGGAGTGGGAATCAAACAGGGGTCCGCCGAGTTCAAACAAAGAGCAAGGTGGCAGCTTCCACCCCGGTTTACAGCCCACAAACAGCCACTTTCATTTGACTTCAGTGAAGCCAGTTTCACTCCGTTTCTTCAATGAAGTTACTTACATTGTGTAAATACTATACTAAGTATGGGTCTAAGTCTACAGGATTTGGGGCTCTGACCTAAATTACTATGTAAATGTGCTAATTTTCAATAATATCGTCTCTTTCTCTTCTCTCAGCCTCATTGTTTTTTGACTTTTTACACCAAATATCAAGCTCATCTCCCCTGAGGGTAGTAGGCAGGTTGCATTTGGCAACACATCTGGAGAGAAGACAGGCATTGGTTTGAACCTTGTGGCAGAGCACAGGGTGTCTCTGCCACTTCAAAGGCCTGGAGCTGGCAGCCTCCAGGTGCTTGACGAGGGCAGCCATTTTGAGACATGGGCTGCCTATATAAACAGGGCAGTTTGGCTGCAGGAGGTCAGGCAACAATGTTGCCTGGCCGAAGGGATGCTGTGAATGACCCGGAGGTAAGGGGGAGCTGCAAGGGGTTGGCAAGAGGCTCCTGGTCCTGGGCATGACCTGAAACTGCACCCTGCTGGGAGTGGGTGGTCTAGTGGGGCTCTCAGTGGTGCGGGAGCCCCCAGGAAATGCCAGGCTAGTGATCACCCCGGTGAAAGGTGGGTTGGGGTGCCTTAACCCCTAGCTCCCACCACCAGGTGGGTAACCCTATGTTGGAGGGGCCCAGAGGGCGGACCCCGAGAGAGCGTATGGAGTACAGGGCGTGGTGCTGCGGTTGCCCCTGAGAGGACGGGGAGTAGTGGCACGGTGAGGCCCGAGGATGAGAGAGAGGGGCTAGAG